GTTTAGACCCTTGTCTCAGAGGCTGGACTAGTAGTGCCGCCCTGAGCTGCTTCTTCCCTTGTTAGGCACTGCCCCTATATAGTCTAGGAGGTGTGTCAAACATAGCTTATGTAGTTAATGTAGACTATGTATGTTTGTGCCTTAGTGGGTACAACTCTCTAGACTATATTGCCTTGTATCTCCCCCACACTAGTCATTATTATTTCTGTTAGGAACATCGTGTGAACGGCTTCGACAATGGTGCGCATCTCCTTCAGCCATGTCTGATCGTGGTTCGGGTGTCAATCTCATGTACACTCTCCACCCGTTGAGGTTCACGCTTGCACTACAGGAATGTGCATGCGAGATCCGCGGGAACGTGACACTTTTGCGCGCTAGGGCTCCTTCAACGGAAGTTGGCTTAGCGACTTGATCAAGGTTGGACATTCAAGGTTTACGGTTTTTTGGATCCCTTAGGGGGCATTCCTACAGTCCCGCGTCCGACTAGCCGCACGTTAGACGCGAGGTTCCCTGTACACCATTTCTCCTTTTGAGTCCCGCTCAAAACTCGCGCGGCGCGGGACTGAAAGTCGCAAAGCTGGTAACACAGGCAAAATCGACAATAGAGGGGAAATCGGCACGTGTCCGAAATGATTGCGGGGTAACATACTTTAACCCATGCGGTCACAACAATGTTACCATATTATCGCCGGTGGATTCCAAACGTTTTGAGCGACTTTCGCCTAACATCTCATCTTGCCGTTCGTAATATGATTATTATCCAGCTCACAACCATCAGATTAAAAAGAAACCGTCCATATAGTGACACTGGTTATAACAAAGGCCTACGTGTCCGAGACATGCAACGCTATAACCAGCAGAACAGCCTACCACCCACCACTCACGACTGCCGAGTCACACTGTCTGCAACACGAGTCCATTGCTGGACAGGCACACCATGTTGCACTGTCAACCAGTGTCTCTACCTTCCCACAAAACACTCAAAAAGACACACTAAGATCATGCAGTAGGTGAACGCCGCAGAACAACCCCACACAACTAGTAGCGACATTCACGCAGAACGCGATTAAACAGGCACGAAAGCACCAACAAAACGAGACGCGGACAACTAGTGAAACAGATGACATATGAGAGAGACAGAGGGTGTAAGTAGAGAGACAAAGGGCTTTTAGAGAGACACAGAGATAAAACGACATACGGAGCGTGACCCGCGGCCATGCGCCGCATGCTTAGAATGCGGCTGTCTCAGAAGCCAAGCAGGTCAGATTCGTCAGCGTGGCCGTCCAAATCTCCTGCCACGCGGAGCAGGCGGCGCCGCGCGGCGATGGCATCAGGGTCATCCATAGCGGCGGCGGGAGTAGGGGGCAGGACGGGCGGGGGAAGATTCAGGTTCAGAGCGTTCCCCGACGCCCTGGCCAACCTGTCGACAACCACCGGATTCCGTATGTCGAACAGGTGGCGGATGTCGTTCGGGCTAATGCCCGTAGCCCGGGCATAGCCCACAAGCATCTCCGTGGCCCAGCGCGCGATGTGCCGCATGGCCCTCGTGTGTTCGCGGCAAGTTACGATATCGAACGGGGCCTCCCGAGCAGCGGGGAGCGGGTCGGCTCGAGGTGGCTCAACGGCGAGAGGGTCGGAACTCTCGAGATCGCAAGTCGGATGGTTCTCGTCGATCTCGAGAAACTCCGACGCTGCCATCGCGACCGGCCCGAGCTGAAGGCGAGGAATGCACGCCGCCATGGCCTCCAACTCGGGCTGCACCTTGCCTGGGTCTCGCGCAGGGGATTCCGTCTGCACAGCGGCGGGCATCCAGCTCGCAGGCAGAATCCGCGCGTGCCACCAGTAGCGCTCCACCGTGCTCTGTTCGCTGGAGAACAATGCGTCATGCAGCCAGACGACCACCTCGCGCATCTTCGGCTTCATCCGCTGCAGCTCCGCCGGGCAGCCGCGCGCTTCCCACATCTGAGTGAGGACCGCGAGCCATTTCACGCGGTACCTCGCCTTGGCCGTCGCGATCAGGCTGGATGAAGGCGGTCGTGTTTGGTGGCAAATATACAATCCGTAAGTTACTCAGCTTGCGGGTGCGAAAGCCACAGAGGTCCTCGATTATGGCACCAAGAGTGGTGATGCGGTGGCTACTTGCATTGTCGACGAGGAGCACGATCGAGCATCCCTCGGCGAACATGGCTGCGTTCAGCGACTCCATGTACGCAGTAAAAACCTACAGGTTTTAAAAAAATGGGGAGAGTCATCGCGATAAACGAAGGTGAGATAAGCGGTTACGAAATTACGCTACGGCTAATTTGAATACGAGTGGTGCAGTCACAAAGTAGGAGCACACGTTTGCAACACATGGAAAAACACAGAAGTTTGATTTGGGTGAGTTCATATGGCGGGGTGTGTTCCTTACCTCGCTCGTCATCCACCATTTCTTGTTGTAATGCCAATGGACCCAGGGCTCGGGATCGAAATTCCCTTCATTGAAATCGCGCGGCCGTCGAACCTTGCTTATCATCATGGGCTTGAGCATCGATGAGCCGTCGGTGTTACAGGTGAAGACGACGGTGACGCGGTCCTTCGCAACTTTGCGACCGGACAGGGTCTCGTCGGTCCACGTGCGACGGGGCTGGAAGGACGTGAACAGTGCCGGCTCGTCCAAGTTGTAGAGATCCTTGAGGTGCACACCGAGGAAGAGAAGCAGCTCCGGAAGCTTCTGGCGCGCCCAGTTGACAGCGGCCATGTAAGCGTCTACAGCTTCGTTTTTGCTTGTGAGGCTCTTGAAACCCATGCGGTCCACAGCCTTGTGACACCAGTTCAGAGAGCATTTAAACGAGGATGGAATGCCCAAAATACGCGCAAGACTTTTGGCTTTTATCTGAATAAGACTCAACGTCAAGGGAATACCAGCACAACCGGAATTTCGTATCCAAATCTTCAGTTCATTCTCGAGGCTGGGGTGGTGACACCCGCGAACGCGAATGCGCTTGTCCTTGGAGGTTGCCGCCCATTTCGCCTCGTGCTTCAAAATCTTACCGACTGTGCTTTGATCCGGCAAGAGGCCGAACCTAGTGAAGCACCACCGGGCAAGATCGTCGAGGCGAAGGTGTGGATTTGAAGCCGCATGCTTGCATATTTCCCGCTTAGTGACGATCGGAATCTGTGCCCTGCGGTGGATGCGAGGCATTGTCGGAAGTAGAGAAATGGGGTGGTTCTGGTTATGGGGTGGTGGAACGAATGTCCACAGCTATTTGATAGCGTTCTAAATACAAACTTCAACTGCACAGCCAAGTGGACGCTCTGCCTCGATCGCCAACATCCAAGGCTGCATGGCCAGAGGGTGTTCGGTTCCAGGCCCTGCCAGCTGGGCACGTGGGGGGGGGGGGGGTACGTAGTTGCATACGTGGAGGCATGGCACGCCATTAAACTGAGTAAATGGACCACACCCGATACCCAAAATCCGACGTGGGATTCTTTGTGCCCAATGGAAAGCGAGTGCTCACCGCGCATTTCGTTCGTGCTTCGCTAAACCACCGAGTCGTATCGCACGCAATTGCAGCTACTCCCCCCATTGGTTGCTTGGAAGATTTCGCCAGTCCATTGGTCACCACGCTGACTCGATAGTGCAACTGTACAGTTATAGGTGGACACTATATAGGGGGACATAAGCAGTGTAGAACTTCAACTTGGACTGTAGAAGTTTTGTCGCTTGAAACGGGTAGACATGTAGAGGGGATAAGGTGTATTGGCTGCCTCCCGTAAGACTATGCAGCATGCGCTTGCGAATAGTTTTTGGTGGAAAAGTACATGCGACAAAAAGGAAAATCGTCACCACCAATGGCACATCGCGACGGTGATCGAATTGCCCAGGTTGGCACCTCAGCGCCGTTGCACCTCGCAAGCGTGGGAAAGCACAGAAACAAACCAGCAGAAATCCGCGAACTACAGCGTGAAGTTCACTACATCAGCGAACTCACAAATTGTATCGGCGAACGCGCAAAAATCATGTGGCGCTTAAAATTTCGCCAAGTTGCGTGGTGCTGGTTTGAATGAACCGTTATTTGCGAGTGAAACGTACGCACGTAGCATCGCAAACAGCTTTTGCGTCCGTAATTATACAGGTGAATAAGGGCAATTGGTTAAATGAATAACCTATGTGGGATGTTGGGACGTCCCATGTTTATTTCCTTATTCTGCCTGGTGGAAATTATATGATAGAAGGAATACCTCCTCTTATTCATTGTTATATACGCTAAATACTATGATGAGAATAGGTAAAACGAGTTTTTAGTCACATATAATTGTATCCGAGGCCGTGGCGCATTCTTTGGGCGTTCCCGATTTCTTGTGCCAAAAGATTGCTCCTCCTCGCTGATACAGTAATGTATGGATCAATGCCTGCTGCTTACTGAACAAAGATGCTGGACGGGACGGGAAAGTCTACGAAGCACAGTGGGTGACTTTGCGCGTGGGCTGCTTGGAGTTCTGACTGGTTCGCGGGAGCTCGGGTGGACGAAAGGCAGTGAAGTGATGCTGGAGTGACGCGAGACGTGAATTCGCAAATCAGTGTTGTTGCTTCTTCGCCCGGCTCGCCATCCGGTGCGTTGTTGGCCCACCAAAACACCTTTCACTTGACGAAGACTCGCTTCCTCGAACCTGGAAACCACGTAACTTGGACGACCCGTATTCAACACTCCTGTCATCCGCGACACGCAATTTCGGACTTCGGTTTGGGCTCCGTCGTCCACTTCCAGTAGGGCGCGTTGCATTCCTGGAAGGGTCAGATACCACTGGACCCCTTGCCTTCAGAACGAGTAGTTTCGGTCTGATAAGGATAATAGTAATTCAGTACGGTATTGTGTGGTGGAGGTGGACCTCAGGCCCTCACCTCTACCGTGACTCCCAGAGACAACGATGTGTACCACGCCCTCACCCAACTCATTCTCCGCCCTCCCTTCACTCTCATCTTTGTATCCAATCATCCTATCCTCCAGTATTGACGAGGTGGTAGTACTACAACTAGAACATGCGCGTCCCGTGTTTGTTCACTTCGCAGATTCCATAAAAAAACGCTCGTTTATATTTCCGTTCGACCGAAATCGTAGCGCCGTCGCTGCATGAAACGCGATCTTACCAGGTCACCGAGATACATTCGTCCCGTGCTTCGACTCGAAGCCTATTTTCGAGGCGCCCAAAAAGTAGAAGACGCCGCGACACCAATTACCTTGTGCGACACGCGCATCGCACGAGTCCTCTGTCACGAAGGCCCGATCCCGCTTCTAGAAGTAGTTAGAAGCTCGATTCCGCGGAGCCCGAAACCGGCGGCAATGCGCGCGAGGGATGGGATGCAGCGAGCATGGCGCGCACTATCCGCGCTTTGGCTTACCAGCGTCGTCTCCTCGTGCCGCGCACAAACCATCCACGCCTCTCAAGGTACTAGTGCTTCCTATCCCCTCTCCAGATCCAAGGATGATGACTCGGGCACCGAGGCATAGCTTGCGCGAGTCTAGCACACAGTATAGACGTTTAAGTGAGCCTCGGGGATTAGTTCGTGCTGTGTTACTAATAAGTCTTACTACTAGTATGACAACGCCGCCAATTGGCAACACAGCCGGCCTGGTTAGTCCCCCACAGAAACGCTTTTGACTCAAATCGAAGCATAGTAGTCTACCATTCCTTTCCACCCGCTTTAAGAAGTCGTGCTGCTTCAGTTGCTCACTTCATCTCCCGCCTCCCGTCCCCGCCTCCCGCCCATCCTTGCCCACTTCACTGCTTCCCACAGCGGTCTTTCTCACGGACTGCCAGAATGCATGGGCAAGGACGTTTGAGGGGTGGACGCAGGGAGCCAATTGCAGCGCCGCGTATGGGCTTGAGTGCGACGGTTCTGGCATGATCACCAGAATGTGAGTCACGGCTGGATGATCCACCCCGGTAGAGACACCTGCCGACGCTCCACAGCCGGCCTACGCTGCACAGGCTGCCGTCAAGTCACTCCGTCGATCGTGTATGCCGATGCGAAGCTGCCGGCGCTGTACAGGCGGGCGACTCTTTACAGGCGGGCGACTCTGCGGCTTCTCCACTCTTAGTGCTCGCATGGATGAGTGTGTGTTTGTGCGTGCGTGCGTGTGCGCGCGCGTGTGTGCGTGTGTGCATGCATGTGTGCATGCGTGTGCGTGTGCATGTGCGCGTGCATGTGTGCTGCATGCGCGTGTGCGTGCGCGTATGCATGCATGTGTGCGTGTGCGTGTGTGTCGGTGCATGCGCGTGTGCGTGCGCGTGTCTGTCCCTTCGTGCGTATGTGCACTCACGCACGCGCCAGTGTGTTCCTTTGCGGCGCGCCGCACTCATTGCACCTTTCTCCTCCTTCCATCCCCAAGTTTATAACCAATCCTCCTGAGTCCACCAAACAAAGCATGCACCCCGGGGTTGTCGTCTCATCGTCATCTCAGCGTTCACATTACTTACCACCGTCCACCGCCTGTGCGTGCTTGCTACCCCTCCTGCCATGCCCTCTGTGCCCATCACGCTCTCTTTCCCCCCCACACAGGATTATCTCGAATAATTCACTCACGGGCTCCATTCCCGACAGCATCTCCTCGCTCACAGCACTCACACAGCTGTAAGAGGCACACAGGAGATCATGTGCCATGCTGCTTGCAGTAGGGGAGATCTTGCTAGCCCATATTGACGTGTTAGTAATCAACGAGACCGTATTAGGTTTGTGAGTACTTGTTTCAGTTCGGTAGCCTGGATAATTAAACCTTGAGCACTTGTATGGCAGCTTGTGGTAACATCGGTGTGTTGCTCCACCTGAAGGCTGCTCTGTCCATTACTTGCTATTCACCGCAGCTGTTCCAAATTGGTCCTGTCCTCCAACCACTCTCGGTGTGCAGGGATTTGAGTGATAACAAACTTTCTGGGTCTATTCCAACCGGAGTTGGAAAGCTTTCTCGCTTGAAAGAACTGTAAGCTGTGTGGGGCAAGCTGTGTGGGACACGCTGTAGAGCCAATGCTAGGGACACATGCTTTAAAGAATGATTGCATGCATGCCATGCCAGGGTTGTCGCCTCATCATCCTCTCAGCGCTCGCTTCATTCACCACCATCCACGGCGTGTAAGCATGCTTGCTGCCCCTCCTACCATGCGCTCCATGCTCTTTGTGCCCTTTCCGGCAACGCAGGAGTTTAAGAATTAACTCCCTCACGGGCTCCATTCCCAACAGCATCTCCTCGCTCACTGCTCTCACACGGCTGTAAGAGGCACCCATGTGGGATGGTGCTTGAAATAGGTGGGATTTAGCTTGCCCATTAGCTTGATGGTAAAAACCAAGACGGATAGGTGTGCACTTGGTCCGGTCTCAAAGGCTGTATGGCAGCTGTCCGGTCTCAAAGGCTAACACATGTGTGCTGCTCTGTCCACTGGGTGCTGCTCGCCACTCTTGTGCCTCATGTCATGTGCTGCATGCCATGTGCTGCATGCCATGTGCTGCATGTCATGTGCTGCATGCCATGTGCTGCATGCCATGTGCTGCATGTCATGTGCTGCATGTCATGTGCTGCATGTCATGTGCTGCATGCCATGTGCTGCATGTCATGTGCTGCATGTCATGTGCTGCATGCCATGTGCTGCATGTCATGTGCTGCATGCCATGTGCTGCATGTCATGTGCTGCATGCCATGTGCTGCATGTCATGTGCTGCATGTCATGTGCTGCATGTCATGTGCTGCATGTCATGTGCTGCATGTCATGTGCTGCATGCCATGTGCTGCATGCCATGTGCTGCATGTCATGTGCTGCATGTCATGTGCTGCATGTCATGTGCTGCATGCCATGTGCTGCATGTCATGTGCTGCATGTCATGTGCTGCATGCCATGTGCTGCATGTCATGTGCTGCATGGCATGTGCTGCATGTCATGTGCTGCATGCCATCTGCTGCATGCCATCTGCTGCATGTCATGTGCTGCATGTTATGTGCTGCATGTCATGTGCTGCATGTCATGTGCTGCATGCCATGTGCTGCATGTCATGTGCTGCATGTCATGTGCTGCATGCCATGTGCTGCATGTCATGTGCTGCATGCCATGTGCTGCATGTCATGTGCTGCATGCCATGTGCTGCATGTCATGTGCTGCATGTCATGTGCGCATCACTGCTTAAGCTCCGTCATTGCACATGTGCGCCCATGCACCCTGCATGCTCACTCCTTCCCCCCTCTGCGATGCACATCCATTCCGTGACCTGCCACCACTAGTTCCTCCCTGCTCCAACAACGTAGAGTGTACATTCACGCTTTCACTGCTTCAGCAGATCTCACAGCTGGCATGAAACAAGTATTCCCTTTCTTGTAATATCTTTCCGCTATATTTGCCTTGCTCTAGCCGTTCTCAGCTGATCCTGCCCTCCAACCACCCTCTCCGCACACAGGCATTTGAGCGTCAATCGACTCACTGAGCCTATTCCAGCTGGAATTGGAAACCTCACGTCGTTGCAAACCTTGTAAGCTGTGTGCAATGGGTTGTAGCTGATGCTTGGGACACATCTTTCGTGTAGGCTTCGTTCTGGTGAAAGATAGAAAGGAGTTGAAGCCTTTTGCAGCACTGTTGAGCGGAATTACCTTCATGGAATGCGTTGCGGCACTCTCCCTTCACCTTCACCGTGTTCTCCCTTCATCTTGTTGCTATACACAGGTATAACCAATGCTGCTGCACGTGCCACAATAACCAATCCTACACCCTGAAAATGGGGATGGAAGACTTGAGCACGAGCCGAGTTGAGTCGAATATGGTCGAGTCGATCTCGGATCGGCTCCTGTGTCGAGTCGAGTTGAGTCGATCCGAGTCCGGCTTGTGCTTGCCCCGACTCATGCCTCGCCTAGAGGCCATGAGCCACGACTGATGCAACGTGAGTCGGTTGACTTGCGAGTCAGGGATGACTCGAGCTGTAACGGGGGTTTGGAGGGACCCGTCAGCCTCGTCGTACTTAGGTTTTGGTCTTGTGCGGCTGATAACCTAAGTCTAGGAGGCTTACAGGCTGGGGAGGCTTGTGACAGATGGGCTTACAGATCTTGAAAATGTGACACCTGCCGCGGGATTTCTTTTGAGAGGCGACTGCGTGACCCGAGTTGTGCCTGCTCACGGCGAGTCAGCGCGCTGACTTAACCTCAGTCGAGTCTACCCTGCTGGAGTTGAGCCAAGCGACTTGAGCAGTCGAGTCGAGTTGGCGATGCAGCAAATCGGCGGGTTATTGTCATATCGACTTGACTCGACTCGCATGCTCAGTCTAGATGGAAGAGTTGAAATGTTATTGAATGCACTTGAGCATGCAATCACTCCCCTCTGCTGCTCCTCAAGTGCATGCATGGCTTGACATCTTCAACTTCTCTTCTCCTTTCAATCCTCTCTGGATCCTGCCTTCCTCTTGCAGTCCCCCAACCATCACCCTCGTTCTCTTCCCTCCATCTTTAAAGCCCTCTTTCCTTACCCCGCACCCACTCCCTCGTCTCTATCCCTCCATCCATCTGCTTCCCATTGCCGCTGCTTCCGTTTGCCCCAAGTCAGTGGTAAAAACATTTCGTCAATGCTCCATCCAAAGCATGGATGGGCGGGTTGTCATATCATCACCACTTCATCGCTTGCTCTACTCGCTGCGTGCTTCCCGCACCTCCTGCTATGCCCGCCATGCTCATCGTGGCCTTTCCCCTCCAATGCAGGAGTCTTAGGATCAACTCCCTCATGGGCTCCATTCCCGACAGCATCTCCTTGCTCACTGCTCTCACACGGCTGTAAGAGGCACTCATTAGACCATGTGCAGTGCTGCTTGCAATAGGAGGGGTTCCGCTTGCCCGTAGAGCTTGATGGTAACCAGCCTGACCAGACAGGTATGTTCTGTCTAGGTCCCGTAACTCGATCCAGTTCCAAAGCCCGTGTGAGGTGAACAAGCTAGAAGCACCTGGACCGGCGTGCTGCTCGGAGCAACACGACTTTGGGCTCCACCGGAAGGTTGCTCTGTCCATTACGTGTCACTCACCATTGCTGTGGCGGTTCCGAATCAGTTCTGTCGTCCAACCACTCTCTGTGTGCAGGGAGTTGAGCACTAATATTCTTGATGGACCTATTCCAGCCGGCATTGGGAAGCTTTCTAACTTGGAAGAACTGTAAGCTGTGTGGGGTAAGCTGTGTGGGGTAAGATGTGTGGGGTAAGCTGTATCTGATCTGATGCTGGAAAGTCAAGTTTTCTTTGGTTGTTGCGTGGTGCTGAGTGGGAATAGAAGAGCGACTGTGTGCACCATCCTTTACATTCTCCCCTTTCCACCTCGTTCATCCATCCTCCCCTCTTTTGAGAAGGGCCCTTCTTCGCCAGGCTAGGGCTGATAGGGCCAATGAGGTTCATGCTGGCTTTGACTCTGTGCCATAGCTTGACAAACTCACTCCTATCTGGCCACCACGGCTTGATCTGACAACCGAAAGAACCGCAAGCATTCACCATTTCACCCTCTCCCTCCCCACCACCCGGCCATCCATACTCCCTTGTGCGCCAACTGTAACTATCTCCTCCAATGTCCCATTCCCCGGGGGTTGACCGTGTCATGCCCTCACCTTGGTCGCCTTGGTTCTTCATCCACCCACATCCACCCACATCCACCCACATTCGGCAGGTCCTTGTCTTCCAACAAGCTCTCTGGACCCATCCCAGACTCCATCGGCTCCCTCTCCAAATTGGTTGTTCTGTACGCTGCCCTCATGCCCTCATGTCCTCATGCCCTCATGCCCTCATGCCCTCATGCCCTCATGCTCTCATGCCCTCGTGCCCTCATGATCTCATTTCCTTGTGCTCTCATTCCCTTGATGCTCTTTGAGATGATCTGCCCGTGGCTGGAGGTGCGCGTACAGTTGAAACGCTAAGGTATCAATGAGCAGTCTAGAAAGCACAAAACAACTAAGGTGACAGTATTACGGGAGCTAAGGGGGTGCAAATGAAGGCGGGGAAAGCACAAATACCACGATGACAGTCGGCTCACTGGGCCTATCACAGCTGGCATTGGCAGCTCAACGCCTTGGATGAACTCAATATTCTCGTCTTGCGCAGTAGATGCAAATGAGTCTTTGGTCATAGTCTTCAGATCAGAGTAGCAGCAGTGTTTGTCTTCAGTTTCTTCTCCGTGCATAGACAATGCAAACAGCAAATGCGTCCCATTGTGTTCACTATCCTCTCTGAATCTTATCTGATTAGTTTCAGCTTGTAATTATTATCGTGTCTCCACATTCAAGTGCACCACGTGCTGTTTCTTGGCGGCTCAATTAGTTGCAGGAGCAAAATCATTCACTGCTGCATTATCCCAGTTAACTGGCCTCTCTGGCTTGTTCCCCGTAACACCCTTCCTTTCGTGCTCCTCACCTGCTGTCACCTCTTTAACAGAGTAACGGCTTGCGCTTTGGGTCACATGGTGATGTAATGATGCCATGGTGTCTGACTCCTACTGTTTGTTCACTCGTCACGATGATACCAGGTCTCTTGACGACAACAACAATCTGTCAGGGCCCATTCCAACATCTGCTGGAGGGCTTTCAAACTTGAAGGAGTTGTAAGAATTCAAGAACGCCTGGGCATTGAAGTGGTTCAGTTCAGGCCCATCCAACATGGTTGGCCATCAGATATTGTAGATAGAACTCATGTAAGCTTTGACAAGGAAGCTTGCATGCACACGTCTTTGGTAATTTGGTTTATGTTATAGTAACCATGCAAACCTGGACGGCTTCTGAAACAACATCTTGACAGCTATGATATCTTGTAACTGCATCACCTTTTTCGTGCTACCTGCATGTGGTGTATGAGCACAACTTTACTAGAGGCACATGGAATTTCCACAACGGAAGCAACGTGCATGTTTTCACCAGCCTTCATTCTACCTCCTCTTTCACATCACCCGCTTCCACTGCAGCAACATTGATGGCACGAACCTCACTTGCCCCGCTGACAACAGCTGTGGCCAAACCCAATCGCCAAGCATCCCAGCTCTGTGCAAGATTTGTGGCAGCTTTTGCACTTGTGAGTGGGAACCGTGAAGGAAGGATGAGATGGCAGTGGCAGCAGACATAGTCACAATCATGTCATGGTTGCCTTCCCCATGAGGGCCCGAGCAGCAGCTCCACCAGCCTGCCTTATCACGTGATTTTTCTTGTCTCAGCCTGCCATTGCACCTATCCTACTCTCACCAACGACACCCACAGGTGGTCTATCAAAGGGAGCCATTGTTGGCATTGCTGCTGCTGCTGTGGTCATACTCCTCCTGCTTCTGGCTGCCATTCTGCTCTACTTCAAGCATAAGAGGCAGAAAAACTCAAAAGGTAGGAGGATTGGCAGTGACCTTTACAAAGTTGTTTCTTTCCTTTCACTGAAACGATGAAAGGACAGGTCAAGAGCCATCATTCACAAAAGTTGTTTCTTTCCTTTCACTGAAACGACTATGGCATTGTATGGTGTGGATGTCAGAAAAGAAGCTATAATATAATTGATTAGGAAAGAAGGCACTCGGAATTACGTACAAATAGAAAGAGGTTGAAGTAGTGAAGGAAAGGATGGGATGGGAACCCAACCGAATCTCCAATATTCACAGACCTATTCTATCAATGGACTCTCCTTCCATTTCCGACATCAGTTAAAAATGGCAAGAGCAAGAACTCACGCCAACTTGAGCCCATCTTGCCCTTCTCCCCTCAACCCACGAGCAGTCCTGTGTGCCAGTCTGGCCGCTGCGCACTGCACGGAGTTCTCTCTGGCTGAGGTTCTCAAGGCCACCAACAACTGGTCCAGGGACAACCAGCTTGGCTCGGGTGCATTTGGTGATGTCTACAAGGGAGTGTCTCCCCGCGATGGCACCACAGTGTGGGCTGTGAAGCGAGCCAAGCTGATTGACGTGGACTTTCACAGGGAGGTGGGTGAGCCGCACCCCATGTCGTGGTTGGTACAAATTTCCAAATGCCGTGACCATGTTTCATGCTTCCGTGCTTAAAATCCTGCGAACTTTTTATCCCACAAAAGAGCATCGGGAATGGATGATCCAGCTTAGAACAGAACATATGTAGCGTGTCTCCCATTTTGTTTTGTGCACCCTTTCTCCGCCTCCAGGTCCAGCAGATGGCCGACAAGAACCATCCCAACATTGTGCGGCTGCTTGGGTTTGCTGTTGGAGGGGACTTGAGGACACGGCCAGAGCAAGTCCTCATCTACGAATATGTGCCCAACGGTGACCTCGAAAAGTGGATCGATTCAAGTATGTGTGAAGCAAGTTCGGGGATCTATTTCACGCTTCTTTTGTTGGGCCGTTCTCCTCCTGCAGTGCGTAAGGCATGTGACTCATCCGATAAAGCTAATGATGTGCGGCCCACTGTGTACGTCCTATTTTAAACATCCCCAGAGTTGTCATCTCCCTTGAGCCTGCAGCAGCGGCTGGGCATACTCGTCGGTGCTGCTCGTGGCTTTGAGTACCTCCATCGCTTTGGCATTGTGCATCGCGACATCAAACCCGCCAACATCCTCATTGGAGACGACATGCAGGCAAGCTCTCAACAGGCACTCAATAAGAACTCAACAAGCGCACTATGGTAGCATTTCAGTAGTGTGAGACCAAATGGCTCTGAAACTTTGAGTAGCCTTTGATCCCTTCAGCCATGCTTCACGAGATCGCCTGTGCGACAATACTTATTGCTTTGAATAAGGGGGCTTCCAAGTGAAATGGCCTCCGCTGAAAGTCAATCGGTTAATGAGATTCGTAACTTCTAGTATGCTAAGAGTAGAAGTTTATCCATGTCAAGAGAAATGGGAAGAAAGCCGAAAGATTGCGAGTGTGGTTGTCAAGAAAGAGGCTTGAATTTGACCGAATAGAAAGAAGGCACATGGTTGTGGATGGGTGAGATGGGAATCCAACCAAATCTTTACATGTGAGTTGGCAGACTGGTTGATTACAGGGGAGATAGCTAACCCAATCCACTAGAATGCCACCTTTCTTATGATTTACGAATGTTAACTGCCTAACTCAAACACACCCTCTATGTGGGAACATGTCATCAATGGGGTGCTAGGATAGCCCAATTCTGCAAAAACGCATGAGATCGGGCGCGTTTTGTCCCAGCATAGAGCTTGACTTCACAAGAGGACAATGAAACAGAAGACCAACGAGTGGAGCGTCGGCTCACAACCCTAGTGCGAAGGGTAAAAGTTAAAACAATAGCACTGAGAGGAGTGGCGCATGGGTGATGTGCTTTCCAAAACGAGGGAATGTTGACTCTGAGTGTGCAACGGACCTGCTTGGCAGTGGACCAACGGCGGCGAGAGTATTGGCTGGGAGCAATATAATGAGAGAGCAAGGAGTCGAATGCCTTGGTGTTCAAGCTAAAGATGGGCACTGATGGTTTTGACCTGCTGCATTTCAGAGTGTTTTAGAACGTTGCTGATGTATTCCAAGTCCTGAGAGGGGGTGATTCTGCGGGCCGTCCGATCGCGAGTGACCTCCATATCCAGGCAGTGTCCTTTACTCGTGCATTATTGGCCCCTTTCACTCGCCAGGCCAAGATTGCAGATTTCGGGCTTTTGAGAGTGGGAGAGGGTACCACAGTGGGCATTACTCGAATCATGGGAACACCGGGCTATGTGGATCCCGTTTACTCCAGGACGTCAAAAACAACCACCGCCACTGATGTCTACAGGTGACGTAATAATCCCAGGGAGGCATATTACGTAAACATGTACTCTCTCACTGTGTCCTTCGACTTTAATTATGGTCATGTTGCACGCTTTCGTGTCTGTCAGCGCTCATCAGTTGAATGACATCACCGTCTTGTTGCTCTTAAAATCCCTCCCTTTTCGCAGCTTTGGTGTGCTCATGCTTGTGGTGGTCACTGGACGCCCTCCACTCTCCGAATCTTACGGCGAGAGCAGCCACATCCTGTCATGGGTAAGCTTCACAGCCATGTAATTCTGTAAACTACCATAACTGTTTTTTTTCTCTGTTTTTATTTTATTTTATTTATTTATTTAATGAAGTCACAAAAGTGGTCGCCACATGCCATCACTCCTCACACATTGTTCCGTGCTCTTATGAGTTACCTCAACCTGTTTTTTTTCCGACCCCTCACACACCCTCAGGTGTCTGAGTGTCTGTCCTCCAACACCATAGCGAGCCTCAAGACCCCTGGCATGGATGCCCCTGAGGCTGCTATGCTGCGCGTGGCTGAGCTGGCGATCAGCTGCACTGTGGAGCGCACTGCAAGCCGCCCAACCATGGCTCACGTTGCCAACGAGCTGCAGGCCATCAGGGAGGAGGTGGTGGGGAAAGACGAGCTGATCGCTGCCGTCAAGGTGGATGCGGAGGTTCAAGAGATGAATGCGTCAGTTGAGTTGAATCTAGAGTCGCAACTCCAGTTGATTGGGGACAGCTTTCAAGCTGAAATCCCAGTCTAGTGTAGTGACAAGACATCCTTCCATTGAGTTAACAATTGGTTAGAGTTGTGGAGTAAATTTTTCCTGTTTGACCTCAAAGTTTCAATATCCTAGTAGCCTGTTAGTAGTGTCCGGGAACATCTAGGGTCTGCCCCAAGTGTGCTGCACAGGAGTTGTTAATGGACACAGCCTGGCAAACGCAACACAACACACATAGTTCCTCACAAAAAGGACTCACTACAAAGACTAATCATGGGACTGTAACGTGGACACTACTACAAAGACTAATCATGGGACTGTAACGTGGACACTGTTTATTATGGCTGAATCTACCGTGTTCCCCCGTATATAACACCCTAGGGTATTGCCAATAATTCATTAAAAAAACGAATGGGTGTTAACACTAGGCTGAAAAAATATAACGCCCATGTCTTATGTATAATGCAAAATGAATGCTGGGCGTAACAGTCAACTTATACATATTAGCTATGTAGAAGTTATAGGCTAGACTGAGGTATGCTTCTAGTGAGTACAACCAACTAGTATTTGTTCTAGGTTTCCACTTCTAGTCATCCATTCAGTTCTTACTTTAACATGGTATCACGCGTAGGTTAGAATCCCCCACCTACCGCTTCCGCCCGTACCCTAGCTAGGCCCCGCCGCGCCCCCCCCCCTCCCCCTAGGGCCCCGTCGCGCCTCCTAGCCCCGTTGCGCCTCCTAGCCCCGTCGCGCCCCTCCTGGGCCCTGTCGCGCCTCCTGGCCCCGTCGCGCCCCTCCTGGGCCCCGTCGCGCCTCCTAGCCCCGTCGCGCCCCTCCTGGGCCCCGTCGCGCCTCCTAACCCTGTCGCGCCCCTCCTGGGCCCCGTCGTGCCCCTCCTGGGCCCCGTCGCGCCTCCTAGCCCCGTCGCGCCCCTCCTGGGCCCCGTTGTGCCTCCTAGCCCCGTCGCGCCTCCTAGCCCCGTCGCGCCCCTCCTGGGCCCCGTCGCGCCTCCTAGCGCCCCTCCTGGGCCCCGTCGCGCCCTACCTGGCCCCATCGTGCCCGCTAGGCCCTGTCGCGCCCGCTAGGCCCCGTCGCGCCCGCCTGGCCCCGTCGCGCCCTGCCTAACCCCGTCGCGCCCTGCCTGGCCCCGTCGCGCCTGCCTGGCGCCTCCGCGCCTGCCTGGCCCTGCCGCGCCTACCTGGCCCCGCCGCGCCTGCCTGACCCCGCCGCGCCTGCCTGGCCCCGCCGCGCCTGCCTGGCCCCGCCGCGCCTGCTTGGCCCCGCCGCGCCTGCCTGGCCCCTCCGCGCCTGCCTGGCCCTGCCGCGCCTGCCTGGCCCCGCCACGCCTGCCTGGCCCCCCCGCGCCTGCCTGGCCCCGCCGCGCCTGCCTGGCCCCACCGTGCCTGCCTGGCCCCGCCGCACCTGCATGGCCCCTCCGCGCCTGCCTGGCCCCGCCGCGCCTGCCTGGCCCCGCCGCACCTCCCTGGCCCCGCCGCGCGTGCCTGGCCCCGCCGCGCCTGCCTGGCCCCTCCGCGCCTGCCTGGCCGCGCCGCGTCTGCCTGGCCTCTGCCACTGCCCGCCCGGCCCATCTTCGTGCCTGCTCGTCCTGCCGTGCCACCTCGGGCTCCGTCTACTCTGCTCGCCAGTGCTGGGGCGCCTCGCGGCCGCCGTGCTGGAGAGTGCTGCCTCCGTGTCCCGGCGTCGCTGTGTTCCTGTGGAGCTGTGCCGCTGACCCTGCACGATGGCTGACTTCGTGCTCCGATTGGACGCCGAGGGCCATGTGGTTGACTTCGCCGCCTAGCTCTCTGATCTCCGCCGCCACCTTACAGGTCAGCGCCAGGATGGCCACTCTTTGGTTGTCCATGTTGATGGCTTGCTCCCCCGCCCCCCTGCCCCTGCTCCCCTCCCTGCTGCTCACCGAGGTCTCCCGGTTGCCCCGCCCCTGTTCCTGGCTCCCTCTCCCCCAGTAGCCCCTGCTCCTCTCCCGCCTCGTCCTGCCCCGTCTGGTGTCTCTCACGTCACTCCCCTCTCGTCGGTTGTCCCCGTTGAGGAGTCTGCTGACTCTGGTGGTCCCCCTGGCCCGTCCCTGCCGCGCCCCCCTTCCCCGGTGTCTCCGCCTTCCCTGCCGCAGTCGCCGTCGCCGCCCCCGCCGCCGCCGTCGCAGTCGCAGTCACCGCCACCGCCGCAGCCACCGTCGCCGCCGCCGCCGCCGCTGCCGCCGTTGGCCACTGGGGGTGCTGGCGTTGAGGAGGGTGTTCGTCCTGCGGCTCCCGGGGGTGCCGCTGGAGTTGGAGGGGGTTATTGCTCTGGGGGTGTTGGTTCTAGGGGTGCTGCTGTTGAGGGTTCCGCCGACGGTCGTCCTGCCTCTGCCGGTCCGAGGGTCCCAGCCCAGCTGTTGCAGCAGCCGCAGCAGCTGTCGCTGCCGGTCTCCGCTCTCCGCCTGCTCGGGCTTCCCTCCCCGGACTGCGCGCCGGTGTCTCCCCCACCGCCGGCTGACCTTCCTGTCTACGGTCCTGTGTTCCCGCCGCCGGACTCGTCTCCGGCCCGTCTTCCTCCTCGTTCCCCTCCTGTGTCCCCTCCGCTGTCCCCTGACCCTAGACCTCCGTCTCACGTTTGGGCTCGCCATCCCTCCCGTGCTCGTCCCGTCTCTCCTGTCCTGCCCACCCACCCTATGTTGCTCCGTTCCCGCTCGTCTCGTCCTCCCCTCCTCCCGTCCCCTCCTCCCTCGTCCCTTGCTGTTGCACCTCCTCCGTTCTCTGACTACCTCCGTGCCGCTCGTCCCCTTGTCCCTCGGGTCCTTGCCTCTCCTATTATTGACCCTGCTGTTCCTGTCTCGCGCCTTGACGCGCTTGAAGCTGCTGTCGCTGACTTCGCCTCTACCCGCCGCCTTGACTACGCTACCGCTCTGGTCTCTGATCCTGCCCGTCCTCCGTTCGTCGGGGGTGCTCATGCCCTTGGCAGTGACGTCCTAGAGGACAGGCAGTACGAGCTTGCTTTCCTTTTCGAGGCTGCTCCCCATCTCTGCTCCCTGCTGTTAGTCCCTGAGGGTGACCCAGACGCCTTCGACATCCCGACCCCTCGCACCTACGCTGAGGCCACCTCGGGACCCTGGGCCTCTCAGTGGATAGCTGCCATGGAGCAGGAGATGGCATCTTGGAGGTCCACCGGCACTTACGTCGATGCAGTTTCCCCGCCTGGGGTGAACGTAGTCGATGGTCCGTCGCTCTTCAAGGTGAAGCGCCCCCCTGGAGAGCCGCCTGTCTTCAAGGCGTGCTACGTGGCCAGAGGTTTCAGTCAGCGAGAGGGGGTGGACTTCTTCCAGACCTTCGCCCCGACCCCGAAGATGACCACTCTTCGGGCACTGCTACACGTAGCAGCACAGCGCGACTACGAGCTTCACTCCCTCGACTTCTCTACTGCCTTTCTTCACGGCAGCCTACACGAGCAGGTCTACCTGCGCCGACCACAGGGCTTCATTGGTACCTTCCCCCCTGGGACCCAGTGGCTTCTCAGGCGCCCGGTCTACGGCCTGCGTCAGGCTCCTCCCGAGTGGCACGACATGCTGCGGGCCACGTTAGCAGACCTACAGTTCTTTCCGCCCTCTGCTGACCCCTCGCTGTTTGTGCGTTCCGGCCAGAATTCGTTCTACATCCTTGTCTACGTAGATGATCTGGTCTTTGCTACTGCTGACAGGGACGCACTGGCCTCTGTGAAGGCCGAGCTTCTGAAGTGACACACCTGCACTGACCTTAGAGAGCTGCGTCGCTATCTTGGCCTGCAGATCTCTACGGACAGAGCAGCACGCACCATCACTCTGACACAGTCACACTTGGTGCGTCAGGTCCTTCAGAGGTTCGGTCTTCAGTTCTCCTCCGCACAGCCCACACCTCTACCTGTAGACCATGGGCTCTCCGCTCCCGTTCCTGAGGAGCCAGTAGAGCCCAGTGGCCCCTACGCAGAGCTGGTGGGTTGCCTCATGTACCTGATGACTTGCACTCGCCCAGATCTCGCATACCCTCTCAGCATCCTGGCTTGCTTTGTGGCTACAGGCAGACACCGACCTCAGCACAAGTCTGCCGCTAAGAGGGTTTTGCGTTATCTTGCTAGTACATCGGGCATAGGGTTAGTGCTTGGAGGACGCAGGCCAGTGGTCCTTACTGGGCACACCGACGCTTCTTGGGCAGACGACTCTGAGATGCTCAGGTCGTCGCAGGGCTACTGTTTTAGCCTTGGTTAGGGTGCTATCTCTTGGAGATCCACTCGCTCGTCATCTGTGGCTCAGTCTAGCTGTGAGGCTGAGATCTACGCTGGTGCCATGGCGGCACAGGAGCTCCGCTGGCTGACCTTCTTGCTCACAGAGTTAGGTGAGCGGCCTAGCTCTGCCCCGGTCCTGTACGCTGACAAAAGGGCCATGATACTCCTGTGTCAGGAGCCTCGGCTTGAGGGCAGAGCGAAGCATATCCAGCTGCGGTACTTCCTCCTGCGCGAGCTACAGCAGCGCTGCCAGGCCTGCGTAGTTCACTTGGCCTCAGGTGCCAACACAGCAGATATCTTTACTAAGGCGCTTGCGCGTAAAGATCATCAGCGGCACTGTGTACAGCTTGGTCTTGTTCCTGTAGCTACTCACCTGTTAGGATCCTGGTTGTGTACTCTCTACTATATATGCCTGTCAGACTGGCCTTGTGGCCTTACCTCCAGTGACTGAACTAGTAGTGCCGCCCTAGCTTGCTTTAGTTTTGTTTGTATTCTTGCTGACTCGTCTCCACACCCCTGCCTCAGCGGTTGGACTAGTAGTGCCACCCTGAGCTGTTTGCTTCTTGCTTAGCTTCACCCCTTGTCTAGCCTAGGGGGTGTGTCAACTTATACATATTAGCTATGTAGAAGTTATAGGGTAGATTGAGGTATGCTTCTAGTGAGTACAACCAACTAGTATTTGTTCTAGGTTTCCACTTCTAGTCATCCATTCAGTTCTTACTTTAATAGTAACATGCAGAGATACATGTGTTAAACTAAGCTAGGTAGGAGGGAAGCCATGGAATGGCTTGAGGTTTAGGAAGGACAAAGTTGACGAAAGAAAAGAGGATCAGACTAGAAAGAGAGAGGGATACAAGGAGGGGATTGTACCCTCTACAGTAGAGTTCGATAACCTACCAAGCCTACACAAATATATTGTATCAGCTGTCCGTGCGCTGGCATGGCGAAGCCGCCACGGCAGCACGACGGCACGGCGACACGGCGACCCAGCGGCACGGCGGGGTGGCAGCGCAGCGGCACCGTGGCACGGCGGCATGGCGGGACAGCAGGCACTGAGGCACGGTGACGTGACGGGGCCGGCGCGGCGTGACGGGGCCCGTGCGGAGGGACGGGGCCAGCACGATGTGACGGGGCCGGCACGGCGTGACGGGGCCAGCGCGGCGTGACGGGGCCAGCGCGGAGTGACGGGGCCAGAGCGGCGTGACGGGGCCAGCGCGGATTGACGGGGCCAGAGCGGCGTGATGGGGCCAGCGTGGAGGGACGGGGCTGGCGTAGAGTGACGGGGCCGGCGCGACGTGACGGGGCCAGCGCGGCGTGACGGGGCCAGCGCGGCATGACGGGGCCAGCGGGGCGTGAGGGGGGGGGGGGAGTACGCTGCGGAAGCGTGAGGAGAAGGCCCGAGCGGAAGGTGCCTGATCTGATACCATGTCAAACTAAGCTAGGAAGGAGGGAAGCCATGGAATGGCGTGAGGTTTAGGAAGGAAATATATGTATATATATATAAATATACAATTTGACACAACATGCACAGTACAAGATGACACCTTAAGCGAGGTTTGGATGACGATCCCCAACCTCCACTGGGGCCAGCCTGTCGATAACGTCATGACGTGCTGCATTTGCAGCCAATCTGAGGAAGCCGGTCCTGCCATCACAATAGGAAAGCTGCCTCCTGCAACTGACAAGATTTCATCGACGGCTAGGAATCCCGTGTTTTTACAACGTAACATCAGCATGTTGAAGTGCGCGACCAGAATCCTTTACGGAATCTTCTTGATGGGACCAGCATGCATGGTCCCATCGCTTCTTGCAGAGCCGTGCGCGCTTCGGCTTGGGGCGTTGGCCACGGTTCTTCTCCAACCTTCTCTTGCCGCATCGTCATTTTTGCTCCTCGCTCCTCTCAGCCTCGATTAAACTCTTCGCAATGCCCAGGCTCTCTAATTGAGGCTCGGACATTGCCCAATCTTGCCTGGCTCGCTATCCCTCGTCAAAATTTTCCTCCATGGCCGCTCGAGCAGTTAGTGGTGTGTCACTTTTGCGAGCTCATCGCCCACCCTTCAGGAATCAGACGTTGCTCCGTCCTTTCCCACCAGTTACTTCAGCTCCTAGATATCCGCCTGCATCTCCCGCTCCTCCCGCTCCTCCGGCACCACTCGCGCCACCAGCGCCCCCTGCACCTCCTGCTCCTCCTGCGCCCCCGGCTCCCCCTGCTTTGCCACCTCTCTCGTCGCCGGTGGTCACTCGTCCCCTGGAGTGGGACAACGATTGGCAGGATGACGACGACCTGTTTTGGGAGGAGGCTAAGGCTGATGACCGCAAGCCTGAAACTCCTCGTCCACTTCCTCGCGTTTTCGTGCCTCGTCTCCCGCAAGCGCAATGCCGTCGTAATATGCCTCTTTGTAACCGTAATGCTGCACTTCCCTCCCCCAGGGCTCGCAAGATGAATTGCAAGCGACTCGCACGGACGGCAACCGAGAAGTTGTACTGGTTGGCGAAGTTGGAGGCGTACCCGGAGATGTCGAACCGCTCCCTTGCTCGGATGGCTGGAATGCAGCCGTGCCAGATTCGCGATTGGAAGAAGAACAAGGCACGGCTCACTGCCTCGGCTGGCTGCAGGCATTGCCTCATCGGCTCTGGTAGTGTCACAGGATCGAATGTGTCGAGGAAAAGTTGTACTATCAATTGATACAAGGCGCTTTTATACTTCCAGTGTACATCAGGTAACCATGTTTATCCTATCCAAAGGGAATACACCCTTCTAGAAATAGAATCACCCTGCGTATAGCCATGCAAGGCTATTGGCTTTAAGGGATTATGGCAGGATTACGCTAGATATAGCGCGCAAGTTCATCCCGAGCCTGATCGGTGATATAATCATAATAATAGGAGAAACCAAAGGATTATGGAAAATGAGGAATGGGAAACCAAATGAGATGAGATAAAGACCAAATGAATCAGGATAAAATGAGGAATGAAATAGATATGAAATAAGGAAAGTGTAACGGGGACGTACTCTCACACTTCCCCCCCTCAATGATGGGTGGTAGAAGTAACACCCTGCTTGACAAGGTAGTCGCGAAGAGGATGACGAGTGTTACTCATCGCTGATTCAGGAACCCAACTATCCTCAGAAGGATCATAACCCTTCCAACGAATGAGAAGCTCCACGGCGCCATTCCGACGACGACGGTGTGCGAGCACAGACTCGACCTCGTACTCGGGTTCTTCAAGCGAGGACGGGCGGTGGCGGCGGGGGTTGGTGTCCGGTGAAGATCGTGTTAGGATCTCGATAGGGCTTCAGAAGTTGGACATGGAAGGCGTTGTGAATCTTCCAGGTAGCTGGTAGGCGTAAGCGGAAGGTAACACGAGTGACCTGTGCTTCGACGAGAAAGGGCCTGCAGAAGCGAGGTCGCAGTTTGGATGGAAGATGACCAATGTCGATATTGCGGGTGTCGAAGAGAACTTGGTCTCCCACGGAGATGGTGTGGTCAGTACGGTGGCGATTGACCTGGCACTTCTGTTGCTGCTGAATGTCGAGGAGACGCTTGTGGGTCCGATCCCAAAGCTGATGCATGGTCGTGATGAAGTCGTGTGCGGTTTGAACTGTGGCTGATATTGTCGGTTTTTGTGGCATGAGCGGGTGGCGTGCGTAGCAGAGGAAGAACGGCATCTGTCCAGTAGTAGTGTCAGTGGCGTTGTTGTAGGCAAACTCCAAGATGGGCAGATGCAAGTCCCAATTAGAGATTTCATCTTTGCATGCAGTGCAAAGGAGTTGCTCTACAATCTGGTTGAGGTGATACCGGTGAGCGTCATCTGCCATGTGGGGCCAGTAGTAGTGTTTGACGATACCGGTGAGCGTCTTGTTGCTACCGAAGTGTCGTGTGTACGGGACGTCGTGGTATTCTTCGAGTAGTAACTGGCGCAAAGGAGGGTAATTAGGTGCCCAGATCTTCGTCGATCCTTTCCGGTACGCGATGTCGTTGTCCCACTGTAGCAGATGTCACTTTTCTTCCAAGGGAATTTCGGGGTCGATGGTGTACCCGTATGTGAAGAGTCCCTTAAGGATTGGATTCATCCCTTCGACTTGGATAGCAGCAACATGTGCAGGCCGGCTAAGCGCATCTGCTTTGTTTTTATGGCCAGGCTTGTACACGATGTCGTAGTGGAAGTGCGTCTCAAGGAAGTCGATCCACCGAACCTGTCACCTGGAGAGGCTTGGTTGCATCTTCAAATATTTTGGCTGCAATGGTCGGCGTAGACTATTGTTTTGCGTCCTTCGAGATAGCATCTCCATGTTTTGAAGGCGATGATAATAGCAAGGGCCTCCTTGTCGTGTATCGGGTAGTTGAGTTCTGTCCCGTGTAGTTTTTTGCTGAGGTAGGCAATTGGTTGCAGTCCATTCCCCCGGTCTTGCATCAAGACTGCTCCCACTGCCTGGTCGCTGGCGTTAGCTTCGATGACGCAGTCGCGTTCGGGGCCTGGCAAGATGAGTACAGGTGCGGACGTGAGTGCTTGCTTTGGCTGCTCCACGGCTTCCTGGTGTTGTGGCTCCCATTTATAGGGCGTGTTCTTCTTCAGCAGATTCGTGAGTGGCGAGGCAATTTTCACGTATTGCGGCACAAACCTGTTGTAGTAGTTAGCGAAGCCAAGGAAATGCTGTAACTCCTTCACATTCTCGGGTGTCTTCCACGTGCGTACAGCTTCGATTTTCTTGGGGTCGACATGAACTCCTTGAGCGCTCACCATGTGTCCGAGGAATCGGACTTGCTCGAGGGCAAATTCGCTCTTGGATAACGTGACATAGTACCGTTCTCGTCGAAGAATGTCGAAGACGCGTCGCAGGTGTTGGATGTGCTGCTGCATGTCACACGAGTAAATGAGGATGTCGTCCATGTACACTACCATGCATTCATCCAAGAGTGGGCATAGTATGTGGTTCATTTTGGCTTGGAATGTTGCCGGTGCGTTGGTGAGTCCGAACGGCATTACCAAATACTCGTACGATCCGTACCGAGTTCGGAAGGCAGTTTTGTGAACGGAATCGTCCGCCATTCTTATCTGCCAGTATTTGGACCGCAGATATAGTTTTGAAAATACCGTAGCTCCCCGAAGCTGGTCAAGCAGGTCATCGATTCGTGGAATCGGGTATTTGTTTTTTATGGTATGCTTGTTGAGAGCTCGGTTATTGATGCACATGCGCAGGCTTCTGTCCGGTTTTGGTGTGAAGAGTACTAGGGCACCGTATGGCGAAGTGGATGGTCGGATCAGTCCTTTGGCAAGGAGATACTCGATCTGCTTTTTCATGTCGGCTAGCTCTATAGGTCTGAGCCAGTATGGTGCTCGGAAGGTTGGCTTCGAGCGGGGTTCTTCCACGATCTCGTGTTGGTGCGTTCGGTATGGCGGCAGCTCGTTCGGGAGGTCGTCGGGAAGAATATCTTGGAACTCTTTCAGTAATTCCTTGATTTTTCCTGAAGGTTCCGAGGCTTTCTCTTTGTCATTCTCCACCTCTGTTGCTATCGCGAGGAATCCGGTGTCGGTTCGCTTGACGTCCTTCTGGAATCTTGCGAGTGTCTCCACTGGGATATCTCCTGTATCGTCCTAGTTGGGTAGCTGGACTCTCCTTCCATTGTTGTAGTTGCTTGTGGTGCGGTTTACCCAGTTGATATCGGGGTTTAATTTCTTGAGGAAGCCTCGCCCAAAGATCAGGTCATGCCTTTCTATGTTGGTGATGGGGAGAGCAGGTTTCCAGCGCAGTGGCCCGACTTGTAGGTGTAGCACTACTGCGCCGTATACTGGTAACTTGCTGCCGTCCACCATCGTTGCAGAAAACGCTGATGGCTTGTACTCTTCTCTAAGTCGGTCGATGGTTGCCTTGTCGCATACGGTGTGCGATGCTCCGCTGTCCACTAGTGCTTGGAGGCGTCGTCCTTTGCAGATGACCTCGAGCACGAGGGCCAGACGTTGCTCGGAGTACCCAAAGATGATTTCATTGATTGGGTCATAGGGTACATCCCAGCATTCGTTGCTTCCTACTCCTGAGCTGGCAGCTGGCCGAGGCTGCTTGGAGAAAGGCTCTTCTCTAGGACCCGGATTTTCCGTGATGATTGTGCGTGACGTTGAAGAAGCTGCCGAGTTGGATGCATCCGAAGGAGGAGTTCGGGGTTTTTGCAGCTTCTTGTAGACCCCCAGCTTCCTCTTGAGCTGCTTCAGCTCCACCGACGTTTTCCCTGGGGAACGGGTAGACGTTGTGGCCTGGTGTCGGGAGAGGACGTTGACTTCGTGGAAAGGTCGGCTTCTTTCGACACTCTTTAATTTGGTTCCTCAGCAATTTCCTCTGACGAAGACTAGTCGTGGGGTGGTGATTTTTCCCCATCACTTCCTCCTGTTTGTGTCCAATCAGATGCGTCGAAGATGATTTTTCTGGAAGTCCGCGGCCGCTTTCGGATCTTTTCTTTTTCGCCAGTTAGATCCGCAATCACTAGCGAGTCCCATTTTTTGTCTTTTGATTGGCCGAAGGATTTCTGCCACTGTTGCGTGCCAGATACTCAGCGCGTGCAACTTTCATTAGTCGAAGATTCGATGACTCAGCACCCCGCAAAAATCACACGTGAAGTTGGTGTTTTACGGACGTGGCCGCCCTTCGAACCTGTCGACTTCCATCGGGTCGGCGAATGTGGGGTGAGCGGAGCGGTCGCCCTGTCGCGTACTGCCGACGTGCGCCCGTCGTGTCCCGGCGTTGACCATGTCGAAGCGTTCCGCTGCTGAAACGACGTCACTGTAGCTCGCGTAGTTTGTTGCTGCTAGTTTGTCGCTGCTAGTTGTTGAGGAAAAGTTGTACTAACAATTGATACAAGGCGCTTTTATACTTCCAGAGTATATCACGTAACCAGGTTTATCTTATCCAAAGGGAATAGACCCTTCTAGAAATAGAATCATTCTGCGTATAGCCACGCGAGGATATTGGCTTTAAGGGATTACGGCAGGATTACGCTAGATATAGCGCGCTAGTACATCCCGAGCCTGGTCGGTGATATAATAATAATAATAGGAGAAACCAAAGGATTATGGAAAATGAGGAATGGGAAACCAAATGAGATAAGATAAAGACCAAATGAATCAGGATAATGGGAGAAATGAAATAGAATAAGGAAAGTGTAACGGGGTCGTACTCTCAAAGTGTATAACCGTCTTTCCAAGGCGAACCTTAATGTTTCCTACCTTGCGCTTGTGCAGGAATTGTGATCAAGGCCCAGGAGAAAGGGTGGATGGACGAGACCCATGCCAAGGACTGGGTCACCACCGTCCTGGTGCCGTTTCTCCGCTCGATAACCTCACGGCGCGGTGGCCGTCAGAAGGCTCTGGTGGTCCTCGATTCATACAAGGGACACCTGATGGAGGGAGTGTCCAAGTTGATGCGACTCTTCAAGCTGTCCAGGGCTGTCATCCTCGGCGGCTGCACGCCCATTGTGCTGCCTCTAGACATGGCGGTAAACCGGTGCGTCAAGGCGCATGTCCGGAGGTCCTACATCGAGTGGTTCGAAGAATTTGGCTGCGAGTCCACAACCCCTGCTGGTGAGTAACATCTTTATTGTTTGTCTTCACAACCTCTACCCGTGCCATGATTTTTTAAACCATGCCTTGCATTTCTCCACCACTACTCCTAAAGCCCCCGCCTACTGTCTCGTCGTTGTGTTTTCCCCTGCAGGGAATCTCCGCAAGCTGCTAGCTGAGCTCGTGCTGTAGTGGATTGCCGACGCCTGGGCCGCGGTGCCAGCTGAACTCATCCGCCACGCGTTCAAGACGTGATAAGATAATGCGGCATTTCCAACGCGACTGACGGCACGGCGGACGAGGTGATCCTCGCCCACATGTGGGACGATGCCGAGGTCGAAGTCATGGAGGACGTCCATGTCGAAATGGAAGAGAGCGGGGCGCTGAACCCATACTACGAGTCGGAATATGTGGAGCTGACTGCCACGCCCAGCTCGGAGGAAGACGATCCCAATGTCGAGGCTGAGATTGAAGCTGCAGCAACTGATTCATCATCCGGTGCATCGGGAGCTCCAACAGCCGCGCCAGTATCAGTGGCGTCTGGGAATCGAGGAGCCCGCACAGCAGCAGCAGCAAAAGCCTCTACAGAAGCAGCGATAGAGGCAGCGATATGAGCTGTCGAAGGCGACGAAGGTCTAGAGATGCCTGTGGCGGAGGTTCTGGCGGGCTTGGCTGCGTCCCGTTGGACTGATGACTTTGACTGGGACAACATCGCCAGTGACGACGAAGATGCCGAGGTGTGGCATGCAGGAGAAGACCATGATGAGGATGATGACAGAGACTAACTATTGACTTAACTGCTAGGACATGTAGCTAGCTGTTGGATTATCAGTGGTAGCTAGCTTAGGTAGTCGAAAATGCACTAGAAATGCCTCGCACAACGGATAGGCTCTAGACTAGTGTTAAAACTGTTGTCTGATGACTAAACCTTGAAGCTAGACCAGTAAAATCCACAAATCCTCGATGGAGGGTGTTATGTATAATTCGTACTAAAAAAAGTGGGTGCTCTAAAAAATGCACCATATCATAAGCTATCCCCCACATATGCTACCCATGGGGTGACTATTTCGGCGGGTCTTATGTACGGGGGAATACGGTATGAGGATCCGCCTTTCGCAATTCTACTTTTTGGGACCCCCATTTTGGTCAGACTGTTTGCGAGGTGTGCTCAGATGCTGAGTGTTTACTACGTGTTAGCTAGGGTACTGTACTGTCGGGGCATGAGCTGAGCACCCAAGGTCTTGCTAAAAGTTCATAGAATAAGGTTTAGGTGGACAATAAGGCGGATGTAAAATAACAGGACCCATGTGGCAGAACTCATTCACAAACAACTGAGCTAAAATGGCTTGTTAAGTAGCGGGTTAGTGCGCCCATAACACCCCAGGCTCTGCACTTGTGACCCTTTCCCGAGGATCTCAAGGGGAATCTCAGCGTGTCTCTTGACACCCCCCTTCGCTGGGATAGGCGGAAGACACCATCGCCTTTGCAGCACTGGCACTTCCAGCAGTGCCCACTGGGAAGTGAACCTGAGACGTTTGGCTCTGTATCATGTCAGAACTTAGTCACTAACCACTAAGTTAAAAGGGCTTGATAAGTAGCGGGTAAGTGCGCCCATAAACCCCCAGGATCTACACCTGTGACCCTTTCCCGAGGATCTGAAGGGCAACCCCAGCGTGTCTCTTGACACCATGTTCAACCATTTGCTACTTAAAACACCACAGCAAAATAGCAGAGGGGTTATCAAGTTGGGACCCCTCTTGATCACGGCCCTTGTGTGTCGAGCTGCTGTGTTTGTTTGTTTGTGTTTTGTTTTGTTTTTTTTTATAGCAGGGCAGCAGCCCGTGCTACTCGATACTCAGAACAGAACAAATCCAGTTGGCACGTTTGTTGCAACGACATTGTGCCTTGCAAATTTCGTAGGGTCGCGCGTCGTGGGCTGTGCAACGTGGCACGTGATTTTGCCTCGTCATATTTGCCCCTACCTGGACATCAAGTGCGGCCCCGCTTCTTTTTCGCCCAAGGAGCCCACGAAAAATAGAAGAAGCAGAGGGGGGTGTTAACATGAGAAAGAATGACTAGAATGAGACATACAAGGTGCCTTTGTGAAAAGGGGTTGTACTCTCTAAGAGTACGCACCTATCTAGCCTATAAAACATATATCTATGTTTTGACACACCCCCTAGGCTAGATGAGGGACAGTGCCTGGCAAGAGACACACAACTTAGGGTGGCACTACTTGTCCAACCTCTGAGGCAAGGGTCCGAAGACCAGTCAGCAAAAGTACAAACTAAACAAGAGCAACCCACGGCGGTACTACTAGTCCGGCCACTGGGACAAAAAGGCCACACGGCCACTCAAGATAATATAAAAGTGGTACACAATCAAGGTCCTAGCAAGTGTGAAGCTACATGAACTAGACCAAGATGTACACAGTGCTGGTGATGATCTTTAGGCGCAAGCGCCTTCATAAAGATATCAGCTGTGTTGGCACCAGAGGCCAAGTGTACTGCGCGGGCCTGGCGGCGCTGCTGTAGCTCGCGCAGGAGGAAGTACCGCAGCTGGATGTGCTTCGCTCTGCCCTCAAGTCGAGGCTCCTGACACAGGAGGATCATGACCCTGTTGTCAGCGTACAGGACCGGGGTAGAGCTAGGCCGCTCACCTAAGTCTGTGAGCAAGAAAGTCAGCCAGCGGAGCTCCTGTGCCGCCATGGCACCACCGTAGATCTCAGCCACACAGCTAGACTGGGCAACAGACGACGAGCGGGTGGACCTCCACGAGATGGCGCCTGCATCTGGGAGGACCTGAGCGTCTCAGCGTCGTCTTCCCACCAAACGTCTGTGTGCCCTGTAAGGACCACTGGCCAGTGTTCTCCTAGCATTAGCCCCATGCCCGATGTTCTTGCTAGATTACGCAAAACCCTCTTAGCGGCCGACCTGTGCTGTGGTCGATGTCTGCCTGTGGCCACAAAGCGAGCCATGAAGCTGAGAAGGTATGTGAGATCTCGACGAGTGCAAGTCATCAGGTACATGAGGCAACCCACAAGCTGTGCGTAATGGCAACTAGGCTCTATTGACTCCTCAGGGACTGGAGCCGAGAGCGTGTGATCTACTGGCAGGGTTGTGGGCTGTGTGGAGGAGAATGGAAGATCGAACCTCTGAAGGACCTGGCACACCAAGTGTGACTTTGAGAGTGTGATGGTGCATGCTGCTCTGTCCCGAGAGATATGCAGGCCAAGGTAACAGCGCAACTCTCCTAGGTCAGTGCAGGTATGTCTCATCAACAGCTCAGCCTTTACAGAGGCCAGTGCGTCTCTGTCTGCAGTAGCAAAGACCAGGTCGTCTACATAGAGAAGGATGTAGAACGAGGTATGGCAAGCACGAACAAAGAGCGAGGGGTCTGCAGATGACGGGAAGAACTGCAGGCCAGCTAACGTAGCATGAAGCGTGTCGTGCCACTCGCGAGGTGCCCGCCGT